TCTCTCTCTCTATATATATATATATATATATATATAGCCATATGCATTGACTGGCATTTTAAAAAATAATGAGAATGCATATGCTAGCATGAAATAATTAATAACTTAACAGAAGAATTAATGAAGTGCCCACTCCATTGAGCAGTTATTTAACTTTTCCTCCAAACTGTGTCTGTAAGGTTTGGCAGGTCAGATGGCAGAAGTGCCTCAAAAGACCATTGCAAATGTGGTCACTCCCTTAAGGCCAAGAAAGACTGTTTTTACTGTCGTGTGAGGCTCTTTATATTCACTCCCCTTAAGCCTTTTACATTTGGGAAAAAAAAAACCTATTTACTAAAGAACATCAGTAATTAGATTAACATGGATTTATGACATACATACTTTTAAACCCCATGGACGAAGGATAAGAATCAAGTTTCCACAGCAAAGAATATAGTATTATCTTAACTTTAACCGAAAAACAATACAAGGTTGACTTCTTAGAAATAAGGCTGGAGGGAACCAGCAGTTAGTGTTAATGGCTATGTCGCTGGATTCCCACGTAGTCGACCGTGGTTCGTGTCCCGGACCCAGTGGCTTAAATCTCACATCGGGCGCGTGTGCGTGCGTGCCCAAGATCCTGAGAGGAGAATGGAGGAGAAGGGATTGCGGCATGAACATCCCCCTGGGGGGTGATTTCTCGCTTTCTGTCTCTATGTCTCTCTCTGTCTGTCTGGCGAGTGCACGTGCCCTATAGCAAAAAAAAAGAAAGAAATAAGGCTGGAGAGAAGGCCAATAGGTTGCATAGTGGTTAAGGTGCTAGACACTCCCATATGTTTGACCACAGTTGGAGTCTTGGACCTGGCAGCTAGCTTTCTCACTTTCTCTCTCTCCCATCAAATTAAAATAAATGAATGAATAAATAAAATAAATAATTTTTTAATTAAAAGAAAAGAAAGAAGGCTGGAGAGACTTTTACTTAGCAGGTAGTGAAGAGTGAGAACATTCATTTTTGATAGCTTCCTTAGTGTAAACATTTCTACTTATATCACTTATCCATCATTTTAAACATTAATTTTTAAAATGAATATTAAACTCTTGCAATTAAGTCTATTGTATTGGTAACTTAATATTCTTTTTTTTTTTTTTGAGAGGTTTTTGCTATAGGGCACGCACACTTGCCAGAATGACAGAGAGAGACAGAGAGACAGAAAGCAAGAAATCACCCCTCAGGGGGGATGGCCACGCTGCAATCCCTTCTCCTCTTTTCTCCTCTTGGGATCTTGGACACTCATGTACATGTGCCCAGTGTGAGTTTAAGCCACATTCTTGATAATGTTATTTATATAATTCATCTGCTTAGTTAATTATTTAACATTTCATTCATGTTAAATTATCCAAAAAATCTGGGTTAATGGCATTCAAATTAATAAAAATAGACCATGTTTTTCCTCCTTGAGACAACAATCTGAGGTTAATACTTCTTTTTCTGGTAAACCAACCTTTTCAACTTTTTAAAAATAAAAGCGAGATGGGACCAGCAGTTAGCATAATGGCTATGTTGCTGGACTCCCACGTAGCTGACAGTGGTTCGAGTCCTGGACCCAGTGGCTTAAACTCATGCCGGGCACGTGTGTGTGCGTGCCCAAGATCCCGAGAGGAGAATGGAGGAGAAGGTATTGTAGCTTGGCCATCCCCTCTGGGGGAGTGATTTCTCGCTTTCTATCTCTCTGTCTCTGTCTGCCTGGCAAGCGCACGCACCCTATAGCAAAAACCTCTCAAAAGAAAAAAAATAAAGGCCAAAAAATAAATATTTTAAGTTTTGCAGGACACAAAATATGGTCTCTGTCCCATGTTCTTCATTATTCTTTTACTGCCCTTTAAAAATGCAAAAATACTCTTTTTTGAGAGAGAGATTTTTTTCTTTAGGATGTTTGTGCTCACGGAAGAGACAGAGAGATAGAAACCGAGTCCCAGTGGGGCTGCTTGCAAAACACTCTGGGCTTGTATGTATTCCCTCCTGGGAAAGATAGCCATACCACAACCCCTTCTCCATTATCCTCTTGAGATTTAGGGCACACACACACACACACACACATACACACACACACACACGCCCAACATAAATATCAAGCTGTGCCAGGTCCAGGACTCAAACTGCAGTCAGCCACATGACAGTCCAGCACCTCAACCACCAGACCACCTGCTGGCTCTATAAAAACCATTCTTAACGTATAGGCTATATGAAAAGTGATTTGGATTTGACCCATGAGCCATAGACTAAATACAAATATAAGCAGATGATATATGAATCCTATAAAACAAATTCCTATGGGTGTCAGTAATTACTCAGATCTTAATACTACTTTTCCTCTGTAAGTGAAATCCTTTTGTATCTATATCTTGCCTACATAATAAAAAAAGATATATATGGGAGGTATTTAATGCTAGAGATGGGCCGAAATTCTGTACAAACGTGGGTGATTACAGAATTTTATTACAGGAAGAAATTCTAGAGATAATCTAATTTGAACACATTATTCAATTTTATGGATAATGTAAATAAAAACTTATAAATAAATGATTAACTAACTTACAAATACTGGACAGATAGCAGGCTTTCAAATGAATCCTTGTGTAATTCAGTCAATTCATTGTCACTAAGAAACCTAGAAAATGAAAAGGTGATTTCTAGATCAAAATACAATCTAACCACAATTATTTGTAATACAAGACTAACTCCCGTGTATGGAGGAAACCTAGTGGTGCTACCTGAAAATCCAGATTCTTACTTCATTTTCTAGGTTTCTTAGCTGCTCTCTCCCTTCTTTTTAAAATTTCCAGAGGGCACATGCACTCACCAGAGAGAGTGAGAGTGGGAAAGTGAGAAAGCATCCTCCATGGGGTAGGGTCGAAATTCCTTCTCCTCTGTTTCTCTCTCCTGGGAGTTTCGGGCATGCATACATACAAGCCCAGAGTGCTTTCCGAGCAGCCCCGCTGGGACTCTAACAGGGACATGCCTCGGGCTGATCCTATCTGCTCTTTCTAATTAAAACTTTTTCTCACATTCTCTTTCTTGTGTCCATCTCTGTCCATTACTGCCCTCTGCTCCCACAAACCCCTGCCACTCTTCCCACTGGATCACCTATCTCATGCCTACTCTCTCCCTCACAAAGTCCCAGTTGAAACCCAACTCTGGGTGATACCAAGATCAGCAGAGCTGCCACTTCCTCCTCTCTTCCCAAACCTCATTCTGGAAACCCCACATGGAACTATGTCAAGGCTGTAAGTAAAGCCATTTGATTTTCTTTCTCCACAAAAGTTTTTTGAGAACTATAATATGCATAAATTACACAGAGCATAAATGTTCAGTTTAATAATTATTAAGTAAATACTCAAGTAGCACTCTCAAGTCAAGAAAAAAACACTGTAAGCGTTCTAGTAGCCCCCAGCCAGGGTACTTTATTCTAATTACAACCCTCTCCCATCCCCTAGAGAGAACCACTGTCTCAACTTTATGGCAATTTCCTTATTTTTAAATGACCTACTCTGTGAATGACATAATTTCATTTTGCTACTTCTCATATTTCATACAAGTGGTACTATACTATATGTATTCTTTTCTATCTTCTGTCAGTGAATATTCTGTTTGTAAATTCAGGATCTTATTGCACACAGCTGAGGTCGGTGCAAGTCACAGCCTGTGTTGTATTGGCAATAAAGAAGGCACTAGCTACATACAGCTACTGAGTATTTAGACTGGTTAGTGTGACTAAGGAACTAACCTTTAATTTCAATCATTTTAATCATTTTTTAACTTAAAACGTGATACTCATAACCCTCAGGAACTACCTGCCACCCCTTCCTGTTTTCAGGGGAATCCATCTGGAACACAAATCCTAGCCTCACATTTCACTTTCCCCCAGAGCTGGAAAGCAGAAGCAGTAGAATTTCAAGTAGGAGGATGAATTACACTCTGGAATGACCAATCAACATGAAAAATTCAACTCCATTAAGAACAAAAAACATAAACATAGGAGCTTAGAGCCAACAAATCAGAATGAGCAGAGAAAGCACAAGAGGACTTTAGAGTAGCAGAACCAATATCCTCAGATGTAAGCAGACAGTACACCCATGAAAACAATGAACAAAAGATTATACAGATGAAAAGTGTTCTCATTAATAATGATAACAAGGGACCAGCAGTTGGAGTAATGGCTATGTTGCTGAACTCCCATGTAGTTGACAGTGGTTCAAATCTCAGACTCAGTAGCTTTAACTCACACCGGGCGTGTGTGCGTGCATGCCCAATATCCCGAGAGGAGAATGGAGAAGAAGGAATCATAGCATGGCCATCCCCCTGGGGGGTGATTTCTCACTTTCCGTGGCTCTGTCTCTTTCTGTCTTTCTGGCGAGCGCACGTGCCCTATTGCAAAAACCTCTAAAAAAAAAATAATGATAACAACAACAAAAAACACACGCCTCCTATCTCTTTAGCACACACATCCTCTACCAAATTTTTAAAAAATGAATGTCTTTCTTCTCCACATAACCCTTTAAGAATAGCATAAATGCAATGGAACCTTTCCTCCCAAAACTGCACTTTTTGAATACACAAAAAAGTGTCTATGCAGGGCCCAGTGGCTAGATCATTAAGGGATCCATATCCCACGTGGCTGACCACACGGTGCAAACCCCAGCTCTGGTGACTTGAAAAACATACCTGCTGTATGTGCATGTGTGCCCCAAATTCTAATACAATAGAGAAACAAAGGAGAAGGGATTGGGGAATGACTATGTCCCGTTGAGGGGTGCTTTCCTACTTTCCATCTGTCTCTCTGCACATCACATGCACTCTCTAGCAAGTTAAAAAAATGCGTATGCAATTTCCATTTGTGGATCACCCTTTTAGAGCAAAGGTCTGTGCAAAGAATGAATTGAAATCACTTGGCCAAACTTGGTTGGGAAATCAATAAAATTACATCTCTATTTTTATAAAAATGTAGGCAACAAATCAAAAATATTTGTTTGGAAAATATTAGGGAATAGGCATCATAGATATATTCATGCCACATTTTTCTTGTAGCTACCACAAAATATATTTATTCTCATCACTACTTTGAAATTACAATACTCATCATACCTACATTCTACTTTTTTTTTTTTTTTTGAGAGGTTTTTCGCTATAGGGCGCGTGCGCTCACCGGACAGACAGAGAGAGACATAGAAACAGAAAGCGAGAAATCACCCCCCCAGGGAGGATGGTCACGCTGCAATCCCTTCTCCTCCATTCTCCTCTCAGGATCTTGGGCACGTATGCACACGCGCCCGGCGTGAGTTTTAAGCCATCAGGTCCAGGACGCGAACCGCGGTCGACTACATGGGAGTCCAGTGACATAGCCATTATGCTAACTGCTGGTTCCCCATTCTACCTTTTTTTATTTTAAGGGAGAGATTTTTTTTTCCTATAAGACACATGTACTTGCTGGAGAGACAGACAGAGATAGAAAGTGAAAATCACCCCTGGGGAGAAAGCCATGCCAAAATCCATTGTCCTCCATTCTGCTCTTAGGATTTTGGGTACACACACACACGCATCTGGCATGAGTTTTGAGCCACGGATCTGGGACTTGAACCATGGTCAACTACATGGGAGTCCAGTGACATAAACATTACACCATCTGCTGATTCCGCAAAAGTCTCTTTTTAAAAAAATGGGGACCAGCAGATGGCATAATGGTTAAGTCACTCGACTCCCTTGTACTTGACAGCAATTCTAGTCCTGGACTTGCTGGTAAAACTCACACTGGGTGCTTGTACATGCATCCCCAAACTCCCAAAAGGAGAATGGAAGAGAAGGGATTGTAGCGTGCCATCACCCTGGGGGTGATTTCTCACTTGATGGCTGAATCTGTCTATACACGCACCCTACAGCAGAAATCTCTCCCTGTAAAAAAAAAAAAAAAAAACAGAGAAACTCTGTCTATGCTGCAGTCCCTTCTCCATTCCCTGGGTATTTGGGGCATACATGCACATGTGCTCAGTGTGATTTTCAAGGTACTGGGTCTGGGACCCTTCCTGCACAGTTGGCCATGTGAGATCACATTATCATTGGCTGGCCCTGTTTAATTTTTACACATGAAGAACATAATTATATATTACTGTATAATAGAAAATAAATTTAAATTGCCTCTTACTTTTCAAAGGGTAAACCAATTTTAATTTAAAAAAATAATCACAGAACTGCAATCAATAAAGGTTGATGTGGAATATGAAGGGAGTTGATACAAAGGGGGGAAATACTATTTCTTACAAATATTGACTTCAAGGTGCCAGCAATTGGCATGGTGGTTAAGGAACTGAACTCCCACATGGCCAACCATGGTTTAAGTCCTGGACCTTGAGGCTTTCTCTCTTTCATCAAGATGAAAAGTAACAATAATAAAATAAATTGCAAAAAAGGACTTTAAAATACACACACACACACACACACACACACGAACGCACGCACTCAAAATTCTAGACAAAAATGCCTCTTAAAATATAATATTTTGTTTTCTATGAGAATATACTCACAATTTTTCAGTCCAATGGTATGATTTTTATCAATGTAGGAAATAGAGTTTCCTTGGAAATTTCTGTGAAGAAACACAATTAATATTCTTGAATAGGTAGGAAAAGAATGAACAGAATAAAGAATCATGGTAATCTAATGAGAGACAGTAAAATACAGAAAATAATACCACCTATCTAATTTCTAGAGTTCTCAGCTTCCCAGTTTAGATCATTCATAAAGTAACAATGTGGGGGACTGGCAGGTGGCATAGTGGTTAAAGTGCTGGACTCCCAGATGATCAACCATGATTTAAGTCCAAGCCTGATGGCTTGCTTTCTCACTTTGCCTTTCTGTCTCTCTCTTGTCAAATTAAAAAATGATTACAAAAAAAGTAAATAAAAAAAGAAATCACGTGAGGCCACTGTCACAAATGATGAGCTAGCTATCACCCCAGAAACTAAATTATTATCTGTCCAACCTATTGGATAGATAATGCCAGTTACTTAGAATGAAAGTATTTTACTCCCAAATCATTATGTGTCTAAATTGCCTACTCTACAAACCAATAAAAAAAATATTAGTAATTCAACCAAAAATGGGCAAAATTTTACAATTATCAGCAAAGAAAACCCCGATGCCAGGTAACTCCAAAGCTTTGGCTAAGTACCCTCTGTTGAAGCTAAATATTATAAGTATATAGAAAGTTGAGGACAGCAGATGGTGTAGTGGTTACGTTGCTGGACTCCCACATGGCCAACTATGATTCAAGTCCTGGACCCAGTGGCTTGAAAACCATGCTGGACGTTGGGACAAGCAAATGGCGTAATAGTAACCTCACTTGACTCCCACATAGTTGACAGCAGTTTACGTCCCAAACCCGGAGACTTAAAATACATGCCAGGCATGTGTGCATTCATGCTCAAGATCTCAAGAGGATAATGGAGGAGAAGGGATTGTGGCCTGGCCATCCCCCAAGGGGGGTGATTTCTCACTTTCTGTCCCTCTGTCTCTGCCTCTCTTGCAAGCACATGCACCCTACAGCAAAAATCTCTCTCTGAAAAAAAGAAGGAGGAGGAGGAGGAGGAGAAGGAGGAGATCATGCTGGACACATGGGCATGTATGCCCAAGACCCGGGAGAATGGAGGATAAAGGACAGCAATGTGGCATCCCCATGGGGAGTTGATTTCTCACTTTTCCTCTCATTGTCTCTATCTCTTTCTGGTGAGTGCATGCACCCCTAAGCAAATCCTCTTTAAAAGAAAAAGCAGTAAGGTTTCTAACTTCAATTAGAAACTAGATGTGTTGATATGGAAAGATCTCTTAGACATATTCCAAAGGAAATATAAATTACTGAGTAAAATTAAAGTAGTATTTCATTAGAAAAAGATGCAAAAGACAGAGATCTGAAGGACAACACACACAAATAGTAATGGGTTATCTTACAGGAAGTAGGGCTTGAAAACTTTCAAGGGCTCTCCCTAGCTCATTGTGTAACTTTCACACCTCTGTAGCTGATACTCAAGGTGTTCATAATCATATTTTATATTACTCCTCAACCCAATTATTTGCAGCCATACTGATCTACCTAATCCTGATTATTATTCCTGTGGTGACACCCTTGGCTATGCTGTTCTCCCAAATTTTTTTATTTAACAAATGATAGGCACTCTCTCTCTCTCTCTCTTTTTTTTTTTTTTTTTTTTTTGTTTTTTTTGTTTTTGGTTTTCGCCATAGGGTGCACGTATTTGCTGGAGAAAGAAAGAAAGAGATGGTGAGAGGGGAAGTGAGAAATCACATCTCAGGAGGGATGGCCATGTTATGGCCATGTTGGAATGTTGGAATTCTTCTCCATTCTTCTCTAGGGAATTTGGGCGCACACACACACACACACACACACACACACACACACACACACACACAGAGCCAAGTATGATTTTCAAGTCATCAAGTCTGGGACTCAAACCAAGGCACACAATGTGGGAGTCTAGCACCCTAACCACCATACCATGTGCTGGCCCCAAAGGCACTCTTTAAAGCCCAGGTAAACTTTTAGCTTATCCAACTTTCCCTTACTACCACATTGCAGTCCTTAAATTCTGAGGAGTTAAAGCACCAATGGTCTATATCCCTTTTTACTTAATTATATATCACCCCTCTCCCCATTGTTCTAGAGACAATGTCAAATTCCTGTGGCTCTCAATACTTACCTCTGGACACAAAATGGGTGCTATATATACAAAGCCAGGGACAAAGATGAGTTCTGGATATAACTGAGGGACTGAATAATAGCAATATTGATAGCTAACATTCATGTGTAAGCAGACAGTGATATACATATTACATATATTCACTCATCTAAATTTCACAACAATCCAATGAAATGTTAACTACAATAATCCCCATTTTATTGATAAGAAGTTGAGTCAAAGAGTTAAATAACTTGCCCAAACTCAAAAAACTAATAAATGACATGCATGAGTTCTAACTCATGGAGGCAATTTGAGTCCAGAATCCACTCTTAGCCCCTTTGTGGTATTATTACTAATGAGATGAGGAGAAGGAGATGTTACTGTGAAGTAAAAATGAGAGAAGAACAGAGGTTGTCAATCAACAATATAATGGGGCTAATTAAAAATGGTGAAAAACTAAGGGCAATCACACGTAAAAGACTGAAGAGGGGGCACAGTGGTAAGTAGAATGAAGATAAAGAAAAGTAGACAAGTAAAAGGTAAAAACAGAACTTCAGTCAACATACTTTGGGAAGATGAGAAAGGCCTTGAAGACTTAGAGAAAATTACTACCAGGTCAGGCAGGATATGAACAAATGAGGAAAGGCGATACTTACGATGGTGAAGGTGTCATTGTGAATGCTGAGGTCTGGCACTGGCACTTTCTGGAGCTTGTGCTTGGAGTTGAGACCCACACGTGACAATGTCTCACTTATGCAGCTACAGAGATCCCACAAGTTGGCATTCACGGTGGTGATCAGTTCTGGTTGCACATTTAAATCCATTCTAGAAGTCATCATCAGAGTTTCTGAAGGCAGACTAAATGACTCAGAAGACCGTGGTGGCTGATTTATGGTAATTTCCAGATTCAAAGGTTGAGGTGTGTCTTGAGGTAGGGGTAGGGTTGGACGCTGAGTATGAACCTGGTGTAGATATGGAGTTACAGTCTTTGGCAGGGTTGTAGGATGTTTAATCTCTGCAGTTATGGTAAGCACTAGGTCCAAAGGTTGACCTGTGGCGCTGGACGACACTGGATGCTGAGCTTGATCTTGAGCTGATGTTGGGACTATTTCATAATATACTGGAGATTGAGATTCAACCTCTTTAGATGCAGCTACAGTCTTCTTCATGGCTGGAGGATGTTTAAATTCCAGAGTAGATTCTGGAGTTATAATAAGTGCTAGGTCAAAGGTTGAACTGTGATGATGGAAGATGCTAAATGCTGCGATTGATCTTGAGCTGATGTTGGGAATATTGTTTCATAATATGCTGCAGGCTGAGATTCAGACTCCTTAGAAGGCGCTGAAGGCTGCGTTAGGGTGTCTTCCATGACCGAAGAAGGTTCAAGCTCTGTACTGGATTCTTGACTTATGGTAAGTCCCAGATCCAAATGTGCAGTTGTGACACTGGGTGGAATTGGATACTGAGATTGGTCCTTATTTGGTGTTGTTGGAACTGTGACCTCCTGATTTACTGGGGGTTGAGTTACAATAACTTCTGGAGGAGGCTCTGGAGGGTGAGTTGGGGTCTCCTGCATGGCTGGAGAAAGTTCATCCTCTGTAGTAGGTTGTGATGTTATGGTGACTTCAGTGAGGTTTGGATTCTGAACCTGAACCCCACCTGAATGTGGAAGTGCCACCTCAGGGTACTTTGGAGGAGCCGTAGTTTCCTTCAGCCATGTAGAATGGTCAGCCTCCATAGTGAGTTCTGGAGTAACTGTAAGTCCCAGGTCCAAATGTTCAGGTGTGACACTGGGTGATGTAGGATACTGAGACTGATGCTGACTTGGTGTTGTTGGAACTGTCACCTCCTGATATATTGGGGGTTGAGGTACAAAAACTCCTGTAGGAGTTTGAGTTGGGGTCTCCTGCATGGTTGGAGGAAGGAAGATCATAGTCTTCAGTAGGTCGTGAAGTTATTGTAATTTCCACATCCACAAGTGGAACTGTGACTTCATTCAGGTTTGGATACTGAGTCTGAACCAGGTTTGGATGTTGAGTTGTAGTCTTCAAGGTTGTAGAATGTTCAGCCCTTACAGTGGGTTCTTGAGTTATAGTAAGCATCAGATCCAAAGGCTGGAATCCAATGCTGGGCAGTGTTGGAGATTGAGTTTGATGACCTGATGCTGGAACTGTCATCTCATAAGATGCTGGACTTTCAGCTGCAACCACCTTACGTGGCTCTGAAAGTTGACTGGGGGCCATTTGCTTGACTAGAGCAGATTCCACCCTATTAAGTGGCTGTGGAGGAGGAGCTGTGACCTCTTGCTGGGTTGGACATGGTTCCATCTCTTCCAGGAGCTCTGATTGTAGAGATGCTGCCCAATGCTGAGCCAGAGAAGGTTCTACCATCAAAAGTGACTCTGGGGAACCAGCAGTTAGCATAATGGCTATGTCGCTGGACTCCCACGTAGTCGACCACGGTGTTCTACCATCATAAGTGACTCTGGAGACTGAACAGGGGATGTCTGCTTGAATGAAGAGGATTTTGCCTTATGAGGGGGCTTTAGAAGCTGAGGAGGGGCCTCTTGAAAGGCCAAAGAAGGCTCCACCAACTGCTCTGGAGAAGGTTCTACCTTCTTAAAGGTATCTGGAGTCTGAGCTATGGCCTCCTGATGGGCCGGAAATGATTCAAACTTTATATGGGGTTCTGGAGGCTGGGAAAGAGGATTAGACTGGATTGGAGGAAATCCAATGTGCCCAGTGGCAATTAGAGGCTGAATAATGTCTTCCTGTTGGACTGGAGAATATTCAACCTCCGTAGTGGGTTCTGGAGTTACCAGCCCCAGTGCCACATTGGTGTTAGGCACCATGGGATCCTGAGTTTTACACAAAGGTAGAGGTAAAATTGTTATCTCATCACTCAGCAAAGGATAATCGGTATATTCCATAGGAGATGCTGGAAGCAGAACTGGGGCCTCCTGATGACTTAAAAAGGGCTTGACCTCAGTGGTTTGTGAAAGCTGGATTGGGGCTTCTTGCTCTGCTAGTGAAGTTTCAGTTAGAGAAGTTTCAACCTCCTCTGGAGCCTATGATTGCTCAGCTTTGGCCTCTTGCTAGGCTGGAGATGGTTTTTCATCCCTAGCAGGTTCTGGAGATTGAGTGACAGCTTCCTGTGCAACTGGAAAAGATTCAAGTGTCTCGGGAGGTTCTGGGGCCAGAGTTGGGACCTCATGCTGGGTTCCAAAAAGTTCCCCATTACTAACTGGCACTAAGGGCTGAGAAGCATCCTCATGGTGGATTGAAGAAGTTCCCACCACACCAGCAGGCTGTATTATGGTAAGCTCTAGATCCACAGGTTTAAGGACATTCGGCAAGACTGAATAATGATCTTGACTGTGACCTGGTGGTATAACTGTGGGTTTATTATTCTGTGGAGACTGAGATGAGGCCTGCTGCAGGACTGAAGTTTCAGCCTCTTCAGGAGACTCAGCCAGCTGCTCTTGCTCAGAGAGAGGTTCAGCCTCCAGAGGAATGTCTGGAAACTGAGCTGGTGCCTCCTGTTGGATTGCAGCTTCCACACCCTCGGGGTCCTCTGCAGGCTGAGCTGGGGCCTGCTCCTGGTTTGGAGTAGATTCAACCCTCTTACCTGCCTCTCTAGATATCATAAGCCTGCTGAGTTGAAGGTTTAACCTCTTCAAGGGGCTGTGGAGGTGGAGCTGGAGCCTCTTTCTGGGGTGAAGAGATCGGCTCCTTCTCAGAATTTTGAGTCTTGGTTTCTAGAAGGAATTGTGAAGTTTCAACTTGCTCAGGTGACTCTGGAGGCTCAAATGAGTCCACCTTTAACAAGGTAGGTCGTCGATGCTGAGGTACGGATACAAATTGGTCTGGAGATCCAACCATAACCTTGGCAAAACGACGATACTGAGCGAGATATTTTTTCAGATTCAAGGATGAAACAAACTTTGCTGTTTTTGTACTCTGACTATACAGACAGAACAGTTATTTTTAACCACTGGTGATCTGCATCCTGCTGTCAGCCATGCCAAAATCCTGGCTGTGGTGATCCCCCGGGAGAAAGAATGGCTAATGTTCACTTCTGAAACATCCAGTAGAGATGATAAAGCACTCTCTTCACTGGTTAAAGATTTCCCTATAGTCTGGACAGAGGCGAACCTGCCAAGAATGGCGATCAACCACCCACCTATAGTGGTTGAACTGCCAATCCCCTATAAGCCGAGTTGCTCGACTGGCTATAAAGAAACACATTGACCAGATGGGGGTACCTGAGATCCTGCTAGAGTGTCAGTCTCCCTGGAACACTCCCTTTTTCCCTGTGAAAAAGAGAGCCTCTGGCGATTATTGGCCAGTTCAGAACTTACGAGCTGTGAATGCCACCACGATGACCTTACATCCCACCATGCCCAAGCCATATACTTTGCTGAGTGCCCTCCCAGCAGACTCTGAATGGCTCACTTGTCTTGATCTCAAGGACGCTTTCTTTTGCCTGTAGCTGGCAGCTGGCAGCCAACCACTATTTGCTTTTGAATCGTAAGATCCAGACACCCAAAAGAAAACACAGTATATGTAATCCAGGGTCCCACAGGGCTTCAAAAATTCTCCAACTTTGTTTAGAGAACCACTCGCTACTGAATAAGGGGATTTCTCCAGTCAGGAAACTGGGTATACTCTAGTCCAATATGTTGATGACCTTCTGCTTGCAGGAGTGACACAAGAAAACTGCTGGAAAAGAACTCAATCACTGCTCCAGCTTCTATCCCAGGCTGGATACAAAGTCTCAAGGAAAAAGGCCCAGAGGAAACTCCCTTTAAATAGGGATCCCACCAAGAGCAGTCTTTACATTATCTTACGTGAAGTCTCAAGAAAGCCCTGGCTTTAGGACTACCATACGTCATTCAGGAATTCAACCTATTTGTATGTGAAAACAGCCAGACAGTACTAGGAGTCCTGACTCAGTGCATGGGGCATTGAGAGAGGCCAATTTCCTGTCTAAAAGACTAGACTCAATGGCATCCAGATGGCCTCCCTTGCCTACGAGTTCTCGCTGCCACTGTTGAACTGATTAAAGATGCAGACAAATTAACCTTAGGCCCAGTTATCAATGCTCGGGTCCCCCATTTGTTGACCGCACTGATGAACACAAAGAGATATAAGTGGCTTGCCAGCTCTAGAATGACCCACTACCAGGGCCTACTGATTAGAAATCCCTGAATTAGACTCCAGACTGCGCAGACTCTCAATCATGCCAGCTTCCTCCCAGCTGCACTGGGATCTCCTGACCACAATTGTGAAGAAGCCCTTGATGAGGTTTTTTCTGGGCATACTGACCTTGTGGACACACCGCTGAAGGCTCCCGATCTTACTCTTCTCACTGATGGTAGCAGCTACATAAAAGATGGGACACGACATGCTGGCTATGCAGTTACCTCCCAGGACACAGTGATTGAGGCTGGGGCACTTCCCCAAAAATGGTCTGCTCAGTGGGCTGAACTCTGGACATTAACCCGAGCCTTAAGGCTGGCAGCTGGTCAGAAGGTAAACATCTATACAAACTCATGCTATACATTTGCTACCCTGCATGTTCATGGGGCATTATACTGAGAGAGAGGACTCCTACCGTCAGAGGGCAAAGCAGTCAAAAACAAAGAAGAAATCTTCCAGTTATTAGAGGCTGTCTCGGAGAGAAAAGAAGTGGCTATCATCCATTGCAGGGGACACTAGAGAAGGGAAGACCTCACTGTCTTGGGAAATGAGCTGGCAGACCAGATAACCAAGGCTGTTGCCAACCAGACCCCAACTGCTATGGCTAAAATGTTGCCACTCATAAGCCTCCCAAAAACACCCCCTGTAAACTTCCTATGAACATCAGTGGGCAAAATCGGAGGGAGCAACCCTGGAAGAAAAGGGATGGTAGAGATTGCCAGATAAAAGACTATACATACTTCAGTCCAAAGGATATTCATTGGTAAAGCAGCACCACAAGGTGACTCACTGGGGGAAAACTAACCTAGAAAACATGATACTACTTTTTGAGTCACCTACAGTCATTGTGTGCAACTGTGAGCATGAGATGCGAGATCGGTGCCAAAAATAACCATGCCCAGGGGCCAGTTTGGCCACCTAAAATAAAAGCTACCAAGACGACTCCTCTGGAGTTACTAGAGGCCGATCTCTCAGAAGTACGGCCATGCAGGGGCTATAAATACTTATTAGTCCTTGTCTACACTTACTTAACACAGGTAGAAGCTATCCCTACACAAACTAAAAAAGCCAGAAAAGTCACTTGAGCCCTTTTAAAAAAAGTTATGCCTTGGTTTAGACTCCCCCTTATAGTCATGTCAGACAATGGTCCTGCCTTCGTGGCAGAAGTCATACAAGGCATAGCAAAGGCCTTGAGTATATAAAATGGAAACTCCATACTGCTTACCCACCCCAGAGCTCTGGGAGAGTTGAACGAATGAACCGCACTCTCAAGTCCACCCTGGCTAAGCTCTGTCAAGACACAGGATGCCCCTGAGTAGATATCCTCCCATTGGCCCTGCTCCGGGATCCATGTACACCTCAAAAACATGGTTACTCCCCTTATGAGATTCTGTTTGGCCAGCCATCCCCCTTAGCTGCCCAGACCCAGAAGACTGATATCCGTCAGATGAGAGAGACAGTTTTGACCAGAGATTTGATGGCCTTGAAAAAGATATTTTTAAAATAGCCCGATTCACCTTAGAGAGAGCTCCCATTCCCTTTAGTAACTGGGTACATAAATATGAGCCTAGAGATCTTGTATGGGTTAAAAATTGGAAAAAAGAATAATTACAACCCACCTAAGTGGGGCCGTATGTTATTGTGCTTGTCACTCCTACTGCAGTTAAGGTTGCAGAGCCGGCCCCATGGATTAATCATACAGAAATGCCCCCTGGAAACCACTCCTCCCCAAACTTCACAATAAAAGGCTGTGCTCCACCCCCAAGAGGGTCTGAGATTCTGAGAGTTAACTCCTCCAGGCCTGGCCTGCGGACTCATTAAAGAGTTAGCCCTGTCTCTCCAGAGTGCTGCCTTTTTGTTCCCTGGCCATCTGGTTTTCTGTAACATTACCCTAAGTATCTATTCATCTGACAGTTCATTTGCAATCTTTCAAGTATCCTTTATAATAGACTGCCAATAGTAAGTAAAAGGTATTCCTGGGTCCTGTGAGTCATTCAAACAAATGATTAAGCACAAGGTGGGCTGAGGTAAACTCCATGGTCAGAAAAAAAACAAACAAACAATCTAGTTTGCAAGTGTGGTGAACCCCCTACCAAGATAGAACTCTTACTCAGATGTGAATTAGAGGGCTTGGGAAAAAAGACAGCACTTGGCCCCACAGTGCAGGTAGCTTCAGTGATCCAAATATTCTGCCAACCCACAGGCCCTGAGAGGTTTCAGATGGCATATTATCCTCGGAGGGCAGGAGGATCACAC